GATAAAATATAGACAATATATTTTTTATAGATGTTGCGTTAAAAAAAATGACGAGTTATACGCATTTTTTAAATTTGACGTCAAACTATAATTGAGGATTTGGAAGGGAAAATGGCGAAATTTGACCTCGAAAACGATGTCCACCAAGCGAAGCTAGGTGGCCATGAAGTGCGTGTCGAAAAGAGATTTTTGAATTCAGGTCATGGGCTCAATTCCGATAACTGTAGCAAAACTTATAGCCAAATTAAAAAAATAATAATAATAAATTTAGAAAAAAAAATAAGTCCGTAAGAAAAAGAAAAAAAAACAGAAGAAGAAGAAGAGTAAAATTAGACACTCCGCGCTACGTGGAGTGCTTGCCAGTGAGCACTCCGCGCAGCGCGGAGTGCTTCACTAAATTTTTTTTATTTTTTTGGATTGTTTTGGTAATTCGACCATAACTTTGGCTACGGTTGTCAGAATCGTGCCCATGACCCCAATTCGGAAAGCTCTGTTCGACGCGCACGTCGTGGCCACCTTGCTAGGCTAGGTGGACATCGTTTTCGAGGTCAAAATTCGCTATTTTCCCTTCCTCTTCATTTACGCGTTTGATGTTTGTTTAACTATTTTCGATATTCATTTAAATCATTTGACGTGTCTATGATATAGTGCTCGAAATGAGTTTCGATGTAATATAAAAAATATATTTTTTTATACATTTTACGTAAAGGAATTAAGAAAAGTAGGGCGATAATAATTTTATTAGGAATTTTTATGCCAAAAACAAAAAAAAAAAATATTTTACGCAATATCTATAAAAAAATATATTTTCTATATTCTATTAAACTCATTTCGAGAATTATATTATAGACATATCGAATTATTTAAATGAATATCGAAAATAGTTAAATGTATATCAAACGCGTAAATGAAGAAAATAGCTATAGGAGATTTGGAAGGGAAAACATCGAATTTTGACCTCGAAAATGATGTCGCTGGGTGGCCACGACGTGCGCGTCGAAAAGAGCTTTCCGAATTGGGGTCATGGGCAGGATTCTGATAACCGTAGCCAAAGTTATGGTCGAATTACCCAAAAAAAAGTCCTAAAAAATAATAATAAAATAAAATAAAATAAAATTTTCCAAGCACTCCGCGTTGTGCGGAGTGCCTGAATTCAAATTTTTAATTTTTTTTTACTTATATTTTTGTGTTCATTTTCAGACTCATTACGGAATATCAAATAAAGTCGAAATATTATATTCTTAATATCGTTTTGAAGTATTCGCGACATAGTATTGCACGTCGTTCACGGTACGTGAAACGGTCAATCATAGCAAATGTTATCGGACGTTAAAGTAGGTATGTTCAAACTATATTTCGAAATTTTCGATAATAAGCTAACTTTAAAAATTTATCGACGATTGTGCGATAATCGAATCAATAAATATTTTACATTTTCTCGAAACTCATTTTGAGAACTATATCGTAGAGATATCGAATAATTTAAATAAATATCAAAAGTAGTTAAACGGATATTAAACGTATGTGTTAAAAAATAAGAAAATAATTCGTTTTTCTTAAAAAAATCAATTATTTTATTACTATTTTGAAATTTTCGATAACAAGTTAACTTTAAAAATTCGTCGACGATTATACGATAGTCGAATCGATAAATGTTTTACATTCTCTCGATTTTTTTTACTTATGTTTTTGTGTTTATTTTCAAGCTCATTACGGGATATCAAATGAAGTCGAAATATTATATTCTTAATATCGTTTTGAAGTACTCGCGACATAGTATTGCACGTCGTTAACGATGCGTGAAACGGTCAATCATAGCAAATGTTATCGGACGTCAATGTAGGCATTTTCAAACTATATTTCGAAATTTTCGATAACAAGCTAACTTTAAAAATTCATCGACGACTGTGCGATAGTCGAATCGATAAATATTTTACATTTTCTCGAAACTCATTTTGAGAACTATTTCGTAGAGATATCGAATGATCTAAATAGATATCAAAAATAGTTAAATGGACATTAAACGTATGTGTTAAAAAATACGCATAATTCATTTTTCTTAAAAAAATCAATTATTTTATTACTATTTCGAAATTTTCGATAACAAGTTAATTTTAAAAATTCGTCGACGATTGTACAATAGTCGAATCGGTAAATGTTTACATTCTCTTGAAACTCATTTTGAGAACTATATCGTAGAGATATCGAATAATCTAAATAAATATCAAAAATAGTTAAACGGAGATTAAACGTATGTGTTAAAAATGCATTTTTTTTAAAAAAATTATTTCTTTTTTCCTTTTTAATTCTTTTTTGTTTAACGTCAAATTTGTTTTTTTTTTGGTTTTAACGTAAAATTTTTTAATAATCATTCTTTTATGCAAAAAATTGTATTAAATTATTTTAAAAATTGATTTATCAAGAAGAAAAAGTAACAATAAGAAAAAAAATTCCTAAAAATTATCGAATTTTTTTTATATATAAAATTTTTTTAGATGTTAAAATAATTAAGATGAAAAATTTGTTGGCTCAATTTCTTGTTACTATAATTCAAATGTATTTTTTCAAACATTATTATTTTAGTCTAAGTGATTATTTTACTTATAAATGACGTATTTGATAATACTATATTCAATATAAGTAAGTCGTTTAATTAATCGAATCATTTTTTTTATTATTGAATATCTAATTGATATAATTAAATCGTTTAATTAATCGAATCAATTTTTTATTGTGTTGTAGTCTCCATTTGTTTCCTTATTTAATATGTTAATATCTCCTTTTATAAAATTCAAGCCATGCATTGCATGGCACAAGACTAGTAGTGATAAAAGATGCAGTCGGATCCCGAACCTCCTTGTATCAATTCTCTTTAACACTGACCTTACAATTTGGCAACAAGATTCAATTATGAAAACGTGTTTTAATATCAAAAAGAAAAACTAAGAATTAGAAGTTCATGATATAAGATTCATCGTAATTCTAGCACTAGATTTGTTTAGCCTAACATGTTGTGAAAAGAAGACAAAAGAAATAAAAATTGTTCATCACCCGAAAATTCTTGAATTCAATCTTAAAGTTCTTGAAATTCAATCTTATTGTGTTATTCACCTCTTTCGGATTGAAATCTTGAAACAAAAACCACTACAAAACATGGAGTAATAATTGAGATATAAAAGCAATATGAACAAGAAAAATTGGCAAATATCTTGTTTGAAAATTGGCAAATATCTTGTTTGTCTTCAGCTATACTACCAAACAAATGTGCTCCACTAGTTTGAGAGTCTTATCTTAAGTAAAGAATTCTCAATTATCATAAATAGTGAGGCCATCCTCACAAAATCTTTGAATAATTATGCATAGTCATTATTCTAATAAATTTACATCTCAATTCTCTTGAACCCAAATATAACTGGATACTAACCCCCGTTTGGCCCAATTAAAATTATAATTCATTTTCTCTATTTTCTTATTAATCGTACATTTTCCAATAAAATAATATTACATATAAATCCAAAACTTTTTTTAACCACACATTCTTTAAATATATATATATTCCAAAAATTATAATCTCAAACAATGGAGCAAGAATTTCCCGATTAATCAAATAAATGGGGGCGGTAACGGGCTAAAATCGCTTCCCTGCCCATATTTTAAAAAATGCCTTTATAATTATAATTGTGTATAAGAAAATGAAAAATATACTAATGGACTGAACATCAAAAGATGACTAATAGAAATGTAAAGTCAGTCTATTACCTATTTAATAATTAAATAATACTTTACTTAGCTAATATTTAAAATATAATAAACAAAAAAAAAATAAAAATTAAAACGGGTATGGAGAGTTTCCCGTCCCCTAGCTGACCCACAAGTAGGGATGAGGACGGGATTGGCCTGGCCATCTAATTGATTGGGATTGCGACCATGAAAAGTAATTGATCTTTTTAGTATGAAAATTTTGCTAGTATCATTTTTTCAAATTTACCTTTTAAGATATTTAAACAAATGACTTTTCTTTATGGCCATAAACAAAAATCGTCAAATTGTAAAATCAAAATGAAATCGTTATTATTATTATTTTTTTTTTAACTTTTCGACTTTGTCACATGCAATCGTTAAAGAAATGATTTTGAAATAAGTCAAACTGTTGCAAATTGATTTCGTTTACGATTTGAAATTTTAACTTTGGTTTGTAGACAAATTAAACCATTTAAGATTTCTAAAAAAAATTACAATAAAGTTTTTAATTTTTTTTTTCCAAAAGTTATTCTACAGATGTAATCTTGACCTTCAAAATATATTTTAACTATTGAATAGTAAAATGGGTAATTTTGTCTATTATAAAATACCAATTATCGGTTAATTAACCTAATTTCATGATCCCATTGTCGAAACTTTTCTTTGATTTTGTTAGTATTTGAATTTACAATTATACGTAGTTTCCTTATCTATAATAAAGAATAATTTAGTTACGATAAAGTACAAGGAATAAAAAATACTTGATCAAATTACAATTTAAAATCAGACCAAATCATTATGTTTATGCTTGATAATACTTTACATCATTTTAGAAGATTAGTTTAAGTCCAAGTATAACTTTTTTACTTTTATTTAATTTATTCTTATACTTATTTTCTTTCACACCCTCATACAATAAAATATTTTATATGTAAATTCAAATTTTTACTTACTTTTTAATTACACATTTTAAAAAAATATTATTCAAAAATATTATGTTCTAAAATTTTAAGAATTTCAAACTAGGTTTAAACTCCACGAACCCTTATTATAAGGGTTCAGTGAGGGAGACTTTGACAGCCTTTCTTTCAGTGTAGCATTCATTGAACCAGATAAATATCTGGATCATAAATATCAAGGAATAGCTTCCAATAATTGAAAGCCACGTGTCAGTGAATAATTCATCTAACCTGGCAGTATCCAACGGTCTGTTTTAAATCTAGAAATTGGTGCGCGTTTGAATTTATATAAAGCACATGGGCTCTCGACCCTTGCAAAGAACAAACGAGGGTTCATTGTTTTCAGTTCGGGTGAAGAGAAGGAATACTCCCACGCCTACTACTCTACTCATACTCTTGTTGCTAAATCAAAAATTAATTATTAGTAAAGAAAAGAGAAGAAAATGGGCGTTTTGGATCATTTCTCCAACATGTTTGATTGCTCCTCTGGTAGAACCAGCTTAAGAAGACACAAACAATTGCAGGCTTGTTCTCTCTTTTTCCCTCTATAATGTTTGTAAACGTGTATATATCCACTGCCAGCTTAAAAGTTACTTTTTCCGGCTTTTTTCAGCTAATTTCAGTAGTACTGGCCAAATAAGCAGGAGATAAATAACTTTTAAGCTGTATTGTTTGTGACTGCAGCTCGAAAGGAAGTTGATTTTTTTAGTGCTTGATTAATGAGTAATTGGTATTTCTTGTTTGTCAAATATAAGAAGATCTGAGTCAGATCTGTAAACATTCTAGGTTTTGTCGTATAATTTTGTAAAAATTGCTGAATTGAAGAATTCTCCTACGTAGATTGATAATTTGAAAGAATGGAAGGAGTTCAAAACCAAGAATGTGAAAGACTCTTTTTGATTTAATAATTAATTTCTCTTGTTTTTAATTAATTTTGGTGGGGTGCAGACAGTGGAGATAAAAGTGAAAATCGATTGTGAAGGATGTGAAAGGAAGGTAAGAAGGGCAGTTGAAGGAATGAGAGGGGTTAGCTCAGTAGAGATTGAGCCTAAGAAACACAAGCTTACAGTGGTTGGTTTTGTGGAGCCTGAAAAGGTAGTGGCTCGAGTGATTCATCGGACTGGGAAGAGGGCAGAGATTTGGCCCTATGTCCCATACGATGAGATCGAACATCCTTATGCAGCCGGTGTCTACGATAAGAGGGCCCCAGCTGGGTACGTGCGATATAACGAGAATGCTCAACTCGCGCACCTTGGACGTGCGAGCTCGACTGAAGTTCGTTACACCACTGCTTTTAGTGACGAAAATACTGCTGCTTGTGTGGTTATGTGATATTCTTAACTAGTACATTAGTACGTCGTGTATTGTATTTATTTTCTTAGTTTGCGGATGGTTTCCAAATTAATTAGCTTATTTGCTTGGAGTTTGATATCGTTAATTGGATTCTGTAGAAGATTGGAGTTTTGATATGCACAAGTCAAGATCGGAAATTATTATGAAAAGATGTAAGGCCATGTTTGATTGGCCACCTTTTCACTGAAAATATTTTTCACCAAAATGTGGTGTTTGATTGCAATATTTTTTAGGGAATTCCATTTCCATCTTTTTCCCCATACGTGCATTTTCCTTGAAATGGTGGAAAATCCATTCTCACCAAATGATGGGAATTCGATTTTCCAGCTTTTTTTAATTATTTTTTTATTTTTTATTTTTAGCAATGGGAACAAAATTTATTAACAATTGTATAAAAATTTATCCCTTTAATTGATAATTTTCATATAAAACAAGATTAAAGGAACACTAAAAGATCCAAAATTTCAATATTTTTCAAGTGGAAAATTATACTAATCAAACACATTTAATTAACAATTCTCAGAAAACAAGTTCTAAGTAATTTAATTCCGTGAAATTCATTTTCTTTTTATCCAAATTTCATCATTGCTATCAAAATTTGATAACACCAATTGCTATTTTGAAAGGTTTTTTTTTAGGGTTTTGAAAATGGGCCGTTTGACAAAATTTTTGACAAAAATTTATGAAATACGTGGTTGAGAAATTGATAAAAATTGTGGTCCCAAAACTTTTTAAGATATTTCAAACGAACAGTGAAAGGTTGGCTGAGTGGAAACTTTATCATTGTCTAGCATTAGACCTCTTTTGTTTTTAACTATTGTATTTATGTGTTTGATTTGGACTCATCGACCTCATAAATTATAGGGGAAATTGCAGCGGAGGCCCCAAATCTTTCATTTTGTTGCAGAGTGTACCTTAACCTTTCATTTTTGCGGTCTCAGTCGCAAACCTTTCACTTTAATGGCAACCAGAGTCCAAATGACGGATTCCGTCCAGAATGTTAGTCAAACACCGAAATTGGAATTTTGACTCAAATTGTCAAAATAAGTGAAGGTTAAAATGGTAAATGAACATTTTCTATAATATCTTCACCAAACATTATAAAGAACAAATTCTCTAAACATCCCACCTATTCCATCCCGCTACAATTTTCCCAAAATTATAATCTGGAGTAAAAGGAAAGGCAATTATTCAAAATGCTTTTTGATATAAAAATCAAACATATATGGGTCCATAAACTTCTTGCTGTCTCTCAAAATGGCCTGGTTGGTTTGAATAATATTGAACATGGCAAGGGATCGTCTTGTATATTCCTTTCATGTACAATCCTATTCAATCCTGTGTTACAGCTTTTCTATTTTAAGTAACATAGAATATTTAATTGTTTGTGGGGGAGAGATTTTTTGCAAAGTGATTTTTTCAAATAATGTCGGATTAAGCTCTTGTTTGGTAACATTTTTTACTAATTTTTTATTGTTATTTCACTATTCCAGCCATCATTTTTTACTTCTTTACTCACAAGTATGACTTATTTTTCTCTCTAACTATCAAAAAATTAATTCTCAAAATCACTACCTAACATGCCCTAAAAGGTAGGGAAAGTTATGGAGAAGTGAAAAATGATATTTTTAAAATGCACGATTGAAAATGAGTGTAGAAAAAATGATTTTCTAAAAATCACTTCCACTCGCTATAGAATTTTGCCCTTCTTATAGATCGTATAGAGTAAGAAATATCTCGGGGGATTGTTTTTGTTAGCTCATGATTTCTTTCTGAAATTTACTGATTTTCATGGCATAAAATTGAGAGAAATTTGCATTGGAGGTCTCGAACCTTTAAAAAATATGCAGCACGGTCTCAATTTTTAAATCGTAGTAGCTACATCTAAACCTTTCAATAAATGTGTGATGAAATGATCTGTAACGCTTACCATAAAAAAATATGTTGATTGACTAAAAGTCAAACATGTGATCTTAATTTGATCAATTTAAAAAATTCACGTTCCAATCATCAATGGTAAACATTCTCTTGTTGTCATGACTTCCCACGACCCCCTTATTCAATAACAACCCCAACAAGAAAGTGGAGATCAACATCTCTAGCCGGTTGGCCATGCTCGTCCTTATTATGCTCCCATCAAATCAACCAGAGGACACAACATCCACACTTGAACATTGCAGCATAACACTTTGATATTCATCAGGATCAACTCAACTTTGGAGTGAAATACCCCGTCACGAAAGACCGGATGATTTTCTCAAGATCATACTCGTCATTTGGAATTTGAATAAAGCACGTGTCCTAGTTTCATCGAGCCCACACCAAGAGCATTCCGGATTAATGCCCATTCCTTGCTTCCATAAGTCATACTGTTTTTCAGTTTTATTACTTAAGAAGATATAATATGTCAAAATATATCAAGAGACACCTAACATGACCGAAAGTTTGAGACTAAAAATCTCATCTTCTTTATAAGATATGCAAGCATTCATGTTTCATTTCTAACAAAATTCACAGTTTTTTTTCCTTTTTTTTTATTTGATAATTCCAGAGGGCCTTTATATTCGTTGTCTAACGAGGTAATCACATAACTTGTAAATGTATATAGAGATTTGGACTAGCTTTAAGATAGAAGTGGTTTGTTTTTCTATTATATACAATTCAAGATTTTGTTTGAGTTCATGTTGGCGAACCTAATGTGATTTTGACGATCATCGCCTAATTTTTCTCCTCCGACCTAGTGACCCACCAATTACGCCCCTTCTCTTTTCCAATCATAAAGAGTTGGAAGTTGATGTTAAGATGTTCCTATTGAAGCTCTTTAGCTACCGTTTGAAGACAACTACTAGAATTCATAGTTTCAAAACACGAATGGTTTATCAATTCTCTAATTGAACTCAATTAGTTCGGTGGGGTTTGAATACACCTTGTCATTTGAATTTGTATTAGTAAATTTAGCCCATAAAAAAATTCTCTATACATTTTGCTCATAACTTCCATTTTAAATTTCGTGTATATAAATGGAATTCTCAATATCATCAAGTTAAACTTGAATTTTAAGCACGAAAATTAAAACAAACCGGAATTACCAACTCTGCCCTTGAGACAAATGCTTAAATAAACCAGAAATTCCAAATCAATACACATTATTTATTAATGGTTTGGTCAATTGAACCTTCCCGCCATATTCGAAAGAATTTGTTACTTTGTTGGCTCAAAATTATTTATTTTTGAAGCCATCATGCAATATATCACTCAAAATTTCTGGCTGTACAGACATCCTAGATTAGTTTGATTTTTTTTTTTTGACGTTAAACTCGTTCTAAATCCTAAAAATAGACAATGAAACAGAAACTTTCAAAGAGAAACCATAAACAAATGGTCTAAACAACATAAGAAATACATGCAAATTCCAGGACTTCCTCTCTTTATAACATAGACTCTGCATGGATTCTTCAAGACAGCTCCTAGGTGCCTCCTCCTCATCCAATTAGAGGAAAGAGGTTCCTTTTGGCTCTACCTTATCGACCCCACGAAAAATCTTTCGATATTGTACTCCGAATCTAAAAATGGCTGCACCAGGTAGAATTATTTGGTTAGCTCTCTGTAGGGTGAAATTCCAGCAATAACCAAGGTAATACCAGGCTCAGTTTCCACAATATATCGACACAACCACGATTGAGACAACACCCAACTTCCCCTCTTTCCTTCCCACCTCCGGTTGCTATATATATATATATATATATATATATATATATATATATATATATACTCACAAAGAGTTGGCCAAGATTAAGAACAATGTATAGCCCATGAGAGACCACACAGGTTATATGAAGAGAAGAAACCGAGAATCAAAGTCACAGAAAGAGATGGAGTATTCTTCATGGTGGAGACGTAGAGGAGCCGAAGATTATAAGCCAAATGAGTGACCAAAAATGGTAAGTTAGGTTAGGTTAACTTAGTGGACCAAACAAGGCTCAACACAAGATAATGGGCTCCAAATTAATACCATAGCCCTCCAAGTAAATGTGACGAACCATAAGCAACACTATTAAAATAGGCTGCTTCTAACGGTCCATAGAGATTTGGGATGGGTTGTCTTGATAATCGTGTAGACATATAATTCAATCATATGGCCAAGGCCAATTGATAATAAATAAAACCGAGGTTACATCATTGCCCGAAGGGTCGTCTGACAACAAATTGCCTAACAACCTCCACCTTAATGTCAAAAAACTTGCAAAAGAAAATGTCTCTTATTAGTGACACCTCTAATAGAAAACCAATAAAATTGGAAATCATTTACCTGTGCCAATATTTAGAAGTTCCTTGCAACTTCTAAACTTTGCCAATGACAGTACCTTCGTCCCCATATCAGAAGGGCTGTAGTGGGTGTGGACATTTTCAAGTCTTACCACCTCTTGAGATACTATATCTCTAATGAAGGGGAGTCTAACACCAATGTGTTTAGTGCGCTCGTGAAAAACGGGGTTCTTGTACAAATGTATAGATGACTGACTATCAGAATACACTATCACATAATCATTCAAGACACATAGTTCATGAAGAAGGCCTCTAAGCCATAGAACTTCTTTAATAGTTTCAGTGGTAGCAATATATTCTACTTCACGCTCATTGCAAGGGGATTGTTCCTTCGATAAAACAAAATGATTAGCAAGAGGCAATGTGACAGGTTTGCAATCACTCATATTAAATTTCTTCAATACTTTGGATATGTATGGGGACTGATGCAAAAATAAAACGGAATTTGACCTATCTTTTTCTATTTCCATACCTAGGATTCTCTTAGCTTTACCTAGGTCTTTCATGTCAAATTCACCACTTAGTTTTGCTTTTATGTTATTTATCCACTTAGATGATGATCCAATCAAGAGCATGTCGTCCTCATAGAGCAACAAAAGCAGATAATTATCATCAGTCTCATTATGTTGAAAATACAAACGGTGATCAAATTTACTTCTTTGAAACCATATAGTGAGTACAAAGGAATCAAACCTCTTGTACCACTGTCTAGGAGATTATTTTAACCCATACAAGGATCTTCTCAGAAAACACATATAATTAGGTTTTGACTTATCTTTAAAACCTTTTGCTAGATTCATGAAGATTTGTTCATCAAGCTCACCATGTAAAAAGGCA